GGGGGCGATTAGCAAGAAGCAACGATCAGCAAAAAAAGGGTACCTAAGCGGAGCGCGAAGAAAGACGAACGTCGTCGGCAATTATCGTCCCGACTTTATCTTTTTGCTATCACGGTGCGCAGCGTCGAGCAAGGTTGTTGTTGTTGTTGTTTTTCCGGAAGATACAGAGTAGTGTGTGTACACGAACGTGGCTCGATTGGCTGCGAACGCAGTTCTAGAGATTTTGAAAGGCGATGCTGCGCGATAAAAATAGTTGAATGTTTTCAGCACTTGCAGGGGGTGATCGTCGTTTTGTCGGAGGACGGTCGGCTGGAGGCTTGTTACTTAGGTTCCGAGCCGAGTATGTTCGTCGCGCCGCCTCTTCATTCACGGGGATACGATTACACGACTGCCGAACAAGAATTGACAGATCTGCGAGCTCTTTTGAAGAGGAGGAAAGATTCTGGTAAGAAAATTGATTGCTCGAAACAAAGCAGGAGCTAGATAACAGATCGAAACCTTTCAACAGAGACTCAAACTAGCGACGCAGGAGTAGACGCGGAGCTGATCGTCTTGGTGAACGTTTCACCGGACTTGAAACCCCGCGTCCATTCAGTGAACGAGGGCTGTTTTGAAGAAGAAAGTCAAGCAATGCAACAACAAATGACCTGCTCCGTCGCTATAGATTTGTCCTCGTACGCGACTCTTTGTGATCTTCAGGTCTGCGTGAACGTTTCTAGACCCCTAGTAGCGACCAACACTTTCTACGCCCTTCCTATCCTTTGTAAGCGAATCATATGCCGATTATTGGAATATGTTTGCTTGATCTAATTTGTACGTTTTGCTCCTTTTTTCTCTCTCGTCAGGTAAACGGCACGTGACCGAAATTGATGTGTACGTGGACGGAGACTCTGCACCCATATCCTCGGAGATCCTAGTAACCGTAACTTATCGGACGGATGCCGGTAACTTGAGGGCGCTTCGACGAATCGGCCAACTGCCGCTAAAGATGATGCTGAGAAGCAGCCCGCCGGAGAACGTGGCCACGTTCACGAACGTGATCAAGTGCAGCGATTCTCTGCTCGGATTCGTTCAGCTGTTTCCTGGTAAATTCATTGGAGCTTTCGTCGCTGAAAATTACATTTCAGAAAATTATTAGCGACGTCGAAACGCGTAGAAGGTGGCATGACTTAACACGATAATCGGATCTTGGCAGGATTCACCAGCTTCTTTTTTCCTTTTCCATTTTTCTTTTCACAGGTGAAAGCACTCGATTAGACCCACACCTGATCGATTCGTGATCGTGTAATTTATTGACGCTTGTCAAAACTTTTCGTTAACCGAATCGAGCGCATGATCGTAGAGAGATCGATAGTCCGTGGTCTGTAACGCGGCTCTTGTTTTCAGAATTCAGCGGGGATGAGTGTCAGAGGCAAGGCTGGAACGCATTGGGGCTACGCCACTTGTACTCTGGGCACACGGTCACCGTCGTTTCCGGTAATGCTAGCAATCGCTATCGAGTTCAGAGCAACGATGGATTATCCTCAATTTTGATCGTTGAACGCCTGATCGAGAGACTAAGAGAGAGGAGCAAGGGGATTCTGGTGAGCAGCGTCGCTCAGAATCACCAACAGTTGATGTATCATCGATTAGAGGGTCATTTCCTCGCGCGACGAGAAATCGACAGGATAACGGTACGTGTGTTAAACGTTCCCACGTCCGAAAGCTACTCGAGTCCGTTCGTTTTGTCGATGTGTTCGTTTTCAAGGGCAGGCTGAGATCAGACTGCTGACGGGCCAGCTGAGGAACGTCCAAAGGAAGATGTTGCGAGCCGTGAGAGAGAGAAACGAACGATCTCTGACCGACACTGTGCTGCCGTTTCTCTTTGAGTCGACATATCGCGCGATCTTCGGGCTCCTCGAACAACTTGTCAAAGCTCGAGAGGTAAACTTATAGTTTCGAGTTGGCCAACTTTTTCTATTTCGATCGCGTTTATTCTCGCATTTGATTCTCGTAGGAACGAGAGCGAACTAGCCACGAGCTTCGATGCAGTCTTCGATTGCTATTGCTATTGCTACGACTGAACGTGACCGACGAAAAATACGCGTTACTCCAGGCAGCGATCGGTTTCGAGCCACGTTCTTCCGATAGAATTGTAAGTGTGTATATATGTACTTAAATGTGCACCCACCATCGGTCCTCTCTATACTGAACGTATCTGATTGCTTCGATGGTATTTTTTCGAATCAGGATTGGGAAGAAATCGCCGATGTGACTTTAACCACTCTACTTAGGTCCGTTTCAAGGAAATTGGCTATTTCAGAGACGAAATCTTCAACAACGTGGAACGCATTGGTCCCTATCGTATCCAACAAAGAGCTATCCAAATTAAAGAAACGTCTGATCCACACGATCGAACGGCTCGATGGCACCAGGGAATCAGATATCGTGGAAATCGAGAGCAACGACGGCCACGATATCGCGTCCTCTTAATCATCTTTCCCCTTTTCGGACATCTTCCCCTGCGACTCAAGCGCAAAATGCGTTTAAATTTAAGAAAGGAGTAGAAATAGGAGGAGAAGGTGTTTGATGAGAAGAATGAGAGAATCAATCATGAATCTTTACGTAAGTGGACGCGTGTTCGGCGATGGAATAACATTATTCGATGCGGTTTGTAGGCAACGATCCGCGGTTCGCAGATCAAACTCGATGAAACGCGTTGCTCGAACTGCTGCGATGATTCATTCTGGCGCCGCGATTCTGCTTTTCCGACTCGTTAATTAATCGAAGGATCGCGAGCGCAAGGTTCATCTTTAACGCCGGGATCGACGACAGTGCGCGCTTTGTTCGATAATTTTCTTATAGTTACACGCACCAAAGGTGCTGTGATAATACTCGTGAAAGTAAATCTACCGCACATGCTTCCGTCCCGTCCACTTGTCTAGTGAAATCTGTGAAATTTCGAACTAACTAACAGGATGATCAAACGATTCGATTAAGAACAAGGATAAATAATAATTGGTCGTGGACCCGGGGCGCGGTGAAGAACGCGCTTGTCGTGATAGTCGAGTTTTTGTTCGAGGCTGTTTCGAGGAAGGAACGTTTGTCGTCGGAAGCGACGCGTTAGAGGAAAGACCGCATCCTCGATGAGCCATCCAGCGACAAATAGACACGCGAATCTTTCGCTCTTCCTCTCTTTTGTTGCGTGCACTGTCCCGGTGCACGTTCTCGCTTTCTCTCTCTTTTCCTCTCGCTCCGGTGGATTGTCGGTTTTCGCTTTTCGTTCAGCAACCACCACGGCACCGGTGCTGCGTGAAACTTTGACCAAGATTCATAGCTAGGCGGCGTTTTCCGGCCCGGTAAAGTTTGGCGCGTGCTGTTTTACTCGAGACGGTCAGTCGTTACCGCCTCCGGAAGCAATTGATTGCGAGCGCCGCTAATTAGTTTACCAGCGTATACCACCGATAAAAGCTGCTTGCCTCTCTGCCTCTCTGCCTCGCGATGACCAAGATGCCTCGACGAGTTCCTTCGTCTCTCTCCGCGTGGCTCGAGCGCTCGCCAGCCCCTCATTACCCCCTCCATCCTCGTCCGTCCCTCCTGGCTAAAGCAGGATACGTCGTTTCCGGAAACGCTATCAAGATTGCGCGCGAATCGTTCGCCGCAACCTTCTTCCTTTTTTACGCTCGAGATTGCGTCGCAACGGCCTCGAGAGCGCCTCGTTTGGAAAGGAGAGAACTGTTGGTGCTGCTTTTTGAATTTCGTTGGCGGCGAATTCGAACATTCGACGGATGCATGCCTTGGGAAAACCGAGGGATGGTGATGGTCGGCGGTGCGCATATGATTTAATAGTGGAGCGACACAGCGCGGCGCTAATAAATCGTCGAACAACCCCCGAAGACCACCAATGGTGTCGCTTTTTTCGGAGGAGGACCGTGTAATCTTCGCGCGTGGAGCGTTCATCAGGGATAACGAGGCGGTCGGTTAGCAGTGGTGAAGTAAGAGGGGCTAAGGGGAACGGGGCGGGGAAGAGGAGACCGCACGGTTAAAATCCTCTTAGGACTCTTCTTCCGACTAATTACCTTGCTTTCGTCGACTTCTACCCTAAATACCTGTTGCCTCTATTTCGGAGGTCGATAGTCAGTCAGAGCGGTCCGACCGTGACGAACTTCTGGCAACCATCCGAGGACAACGCGTCATCTCGTCTTTCTCTTCTCCGTCTAGCTGACTTACGTTTTCTTCGAATCGATTTCTAACTTTGTAACGCGAGAAACAGCGATTTTTCGCTTGCGTTATCTAAACGAATCGCAACCAGCACAGTGCGGCGACGAGAATTTCTGATCTCGGATGTCGAAAGTCTCGCGCGGTCGGTCGGTCAGCCGATCGATTGATCGTTGGTCTTCTAGTTCGCCGGCACGACTCATCGCGTCGTCTAATGGATCCATAAATCATCTGTACGTAGGGACGAAGAACGGCGGTGGTGGTTCTGACGTCTTCAAAGATTCGACGAAAATCGTTAAACCCGCAGCGAGGATCGGTGAGATGAACGAAGAGATAGGCAAGACTCGCGTTAATGACTCGCTTCCGCGACCCTCGCAAAATTTACAGCCTTCCATCTTCCAGTTACAAGTCGAGTTCGAGTTCGAGACGGAATCGGAGTCGGAGCGGCGAACATCGAACGTGTATTTCACCACGATACTCGTGGCTTTGTTTTTTGAAGAAACTCGGCGAAGAACGGCGCGTAGAATTCGCCGAAAATAGAGCCACCGCCTATCTCGGCTAGCGTCCTTCTTCTCATAGAATCGAAACGCAAAGTAAATTTCACCGGTCGACACCATTCGAGGAAAAACACCTCTTTTCGTAACGTACGGCAAAGTAGAGAAAGAGAAAGAGAGAGGGGGGAGGGAGGGAGAGAGAGAGAGAGAGAGAGAGAGAGTAGGCGCTGGTATGCCTGCGAGAAAGATGCGTCCCACGCGAGCGTGTCTGTTCAGCGTCAGAGCGGTTAGTTTATTTAGCTAATTCAAACAAATTTCCCACCGATATGATCGCGTTTGTTTTTTTCGTGGAGCAGAGGAACGCCGAGATCGTGATTCCCCTAATGGCTGGATCGCGTTCGGTGAATCGAAAAGGAAACCGTCGCTCGAGGTTTCGCTTCTTGAGGTCGCGAGAGATACGTTTGGCGCGTGCAAAATCTCGATACGACCTTGCCACGAGCTAGTGAGTGAGGTGAACCGCGCACGCACACTGGTACATGCGCAAGCAAACTCGAAGGATCGATATCGGATACGCAATCGCGCCTTCCTCCATTAGATTCGATTGGATCTGGAGGTGGACCGCGTTGCGACGCTCACCGGACACGCGCGCAGGTATCGACGCACCACGATAATGAAATGGATGTCGAATGAGGTAGTGGCCGCGGAATCGAAAGAGAGATATTGAAGCAGCGGTACTTTTCTCTTGGAAGCTTGACAGCGTGCTACGCAAAATTTCTCTGTATTCGATGGAGGACGCGCGAAGTGTTCATGTGACCTTGCACTCGTTACGCATAAGAAAGCAAAAGCGAGTAACGCGGTTGTAGTTTGACGTGTCGTGTCGGTCATTGCAACTGAGACCGTTTCTCCTCTCTTTTTGATTCAAGTTTGAGGAAATCGATAGTAGATCGCGGAAAGAAAGGAAGCAAGTTCGTGGCGATTCGCGTTAATGAGGAGCGAGGGTAATAGACGGCGTAGTTATTAAGCGGCGTGCATTAAAGCAACGCAGAGCAGCCTGTACACCGGTGTGTATCGGCTTCTAGCTCTCTTACCGTGGCCCATTGTAGGGGCGCGCTTCCACGAACGAAGCTAACGAGGTAGGTCCTCGTTACGAACGTCCGCGCGCGGGATGCTCCGCATCGTCGAGATGCGGACGAGTCTGAGGAAGAAGAAGGAGAGAAAGAAGAAGAAGAGAGACAGAGAGACTAAGAAGAATGAAAGGAGAGGCGGAGAAAAAGAGAGAGCGACGAGGAAAGAGGTTCTCTAGAGGGAGAGGAAAGGCCAAGTACCATCGATAAGCATCTTCGATATGTACAATAGCGAACGGAGTAGTTGGCGGTCTCTTTCTCTCTCTCTCGAACATTCCCCGTTCGTCCTGACTAAGCCACGGAACAAGAAAGGAAGAGATGCATACCTAGCGTGCGTTCCTTTCGCGTCGAATCGAATTGATTATAAACTCGTTAATGGTATCGAGGCTAATGTTCGCACGCGCCAATCGGCAACCACGATGAAAATACTGTTTGCTCGGTATATGTACATATATCCCAACACTGGATATCTCGTAAAACCAGGGTATTGTTGAAATACGCTTTACCGATAGGATTATCGAAGTGAAACACCGTCAATGGAATGGCTACATTTTGGAGATGCAGACAATAACGACAACGACGACAATGATAGAGAAGTTGCGCACGATCATCGAGTTCTTCGTAGTCCAGCTCTTGGAACCGAAGCGGTTTTCCGGAGGAATCGGTATTTTCCAGCATTCCGATCGAATAGGGACACGCACGATAGCCTCTCTTCTATTTGCTTCTCTCGTGGCCGGACTACGAGAGATAAACTTTTTCCTTCGGCGTCGATGTTATTTGACCGACGATGCGACTTCTCTTTCTGCTCTCGTTTTCTCTCTACAAAGTGGTAGTTACTTTCAAGGTTCTCGAGGGAAGAAAAAGGGTCGCCGTTTGCTTGGGACATGAACGAAAATTTTCAAACTGGCAGATAATCGAATCAGCATGGTATGCCGCGCCGCGCCGCGCCGCGCCACGAACGCAGGAACGAGAGAGCGATCGCGACCGAGTTGGAGCGTTTTCCCTCTCTCAGTCCAGTTTCTCGCGCAGTTTCTCCTCCGCCGTTCTCTTCACTGGTGGTTCCAACCGAGAACCCACTCTCTATCACAGCCAACAGCCACCTCCTCCTCCTCCGCAGCCCTTGTTCCACCGACTTGCCACCGCCACCACCACTTCCAGCGCTGCCGCCGCCGCCGCCGCCACCTCCACCGGCAGCGACGACCATCTCCGACGCAGCCACCACTCTCGGCCCTTCCAGTCGCCTTTCCCCGCCGTGCTTCTCTGGCTAGTCCGAGGCAGTCACGGAAACCTCGTTACTCAAGCAACGATACGGTGGTAGAACTGGCAACGGAACTTTAGTGCAGCTGCGGCGAGCAGCTGACGCGGAATCGTTCGTAGTTGGTGGTCGGACTCGCGTGGCAAACACGCAGTAATCGTTCTTGAATCTTGGGATCGACGACGACAACGACGAACGGTGTCTCTCTTCCCTTTTTACGTTTGTAACGCACCGTGCGAATCGGTCTACTACGCGAACACAGTGTACGCAAAGTGGTGGTGTTCAAGGAGATATTCAAGAGAGCGAGACTGCGTTTCGAATACGTCCAGGGGCTTTCCCGGTCGTCAAATGAACCAAGTGTCGATCTATCACGGCCAACGGACAGTAGCCTGGTCGACGCGTCGTCGCCGAGTTGCACGGCTACGTGACGATCTTTCGACGATATCGGCGGCTTCGGTAAGTCAGTTGTCCTCGTGTTACACCGCTTTGCCGATCGTGAATTTGACTCCATTGATTCGGTGCGACTCGATGCGATGCGAGGAAAAAGAGCGGTAACGGATCATAGGTGGACAGTGCACTGATGTTAGCACACTAATACTCTGGTCTAATCCAATTCGCACGAATAGACAAATATACAAGCGGGACGAGTCGCGGTTAGAACTTCCGAGGTGCCAACGGAAGGTCGAGGTAAAGAAGGAACGATCGCGCACGATAGACGATCGAAGGCGGCGTGTAGCCGTCTGACAGCTGAGTACGCCGTGCTAGATGTCGCCAGAGACGCAGCCCGCTTTGTTGCGCTGATCGCTTGAGACTCGCCGGCTCGTTCTCCTTCTCCTTTTCCTTCTTTTTCTTATTCTTCTTTTGCTGCTGGTTTCTCTTCTTTCCTCTTCTATTCTACGCTTGTGGCTACCCTCGGAGCAGCAGCGAGTCGTAAAGCAGGCAGGCAGGCAGGCAGGCGGACAGGCGCGCGCGCGCTCGTCCCAGGGTCTCGCATACCAACGCACACGCAGGCAGCCACGCGCAAGCCCTTCTCGTTCTACGCACCTGTTCCGTTGTTGTCGTTTCGTCGCGGCGTGCTTGCACGCGACAGCTTGTGCCACTTACTTCCAGTTACTTCTCGAGAGCCGGCTTGCCTGGCTTCTCTGCCACCCGTGAAGACTTCGCGCGTCCGTCTCCATGATCGACACTCTCTTTCTCTCCTCTTCTCTTCTTTTCCTTTCCTTTCGCTCGTTGCTTTGATCATGAGCGAGTCTCGTCGTTCGTAATCGCGAGTGCTCCGGTAAACTCGCGCTTGAGCACGCGAGGCCGTAGCCTTCCCTCTCTCTTCCTCTGCCTTTTTTCCCCTCTCCTTC